TTTGTTTGTAATAAGGAAGCTGATACACTCAGTTGATATGTTGTGAAACCAATGAAAAGTGAAAACCTGTAAAGTGAAGCCCATTGAAATCTCATATGTGCTATTTGGCCATTTGGCCTGATGATCCATTGGACTGGCATTTCTGAAGAGATCTCATAACATAGGTAGCCATCCTTCTAAGTACCAGATGAAGTGTAGAGAATAACCAGGTAATGGTACAGAGAGGACAATTATTTTGTTTTACTGTGCCATTAATGTTACCAGTATTATTAGTGGGAAACTTTGGTACCTGAGTTAAATCGCTTTATGTTGCAGCGTGATGAGCTATGATATATATATATATATATATACCTTTTCTCTTTAAAATTCACCAATCCCTGCCAGACCCCTCTAGACATATACCCCAACAATGATGATGCCCTGTTTACAATTACATTTTGAGACCTATCAGTTAGCCAGCTTTTAATCCATGTAATTTATGCCATGTTAGTTTTATATAATTCAGGTTTATTTAATCCAAATGTCCGGTGGTACCAAATTAAATATCTTACAGAAGACTAAGTATATCGTTTCAACAGCAGTAATTTCATGAGCCAAACTCGTATTCTGATTAAAAAATATATTAAGTTAGTTTGACAGGATCTCTTCTTCATAAACCCATGCTGAGTACCTGACTTCAATTCTGTATTAATCCTGTCTGTATCAATGACTCCATTATCTTTCCTGCAATTGATGTCAGACTGACAAGCTTCGTACCAGTCTTCTGCAACTTCCCCAATGTTCAAGACTTATTGAAAACCAACATTAATGGTCCAGCCAGCTTCTCAGCCAACTGCTTTAAAATATACAACTTTCTCCCAAATACTCTCAGTACTCTTTCTAGTGACATCACCTGGGTAATGAAACTTCCTCAAACTGCAGGGCTCTGTTGTGGAAACCTCCAGGTAGATTTTAATTTTCTATATAGTTTCTAAAATGGACATTATGGTGCCACATCGTGTCCCAGCTTCATCTTGTCTATCTGCTATGGACTTCTAGGTATAGAGCAAATACTATAGAAGAAAGTGATAAAAGGTGAAGTTACTTCACAAGTGAGTGAGAGTTTGTGGTTAGCTCCGCTAGGAACTGTTGCTGTTACTCAATCTAACTCCCCTGTGAGCCACAGACACAGCAACCGCTATTAGACATGTTTGAAGGGCTTAGTCCTAAGTTCTGCAAAGGATTCTTGCTCATCCCTGGACATATATGACACTATGAAAAATACTAATAATTTGGGATTAAACTCTTTGTCTGTGTGTGTATGTGTGTATTACTTGTGCACCTTTTTCATACAGTATTGATTAATATTCTTAGTGTATTTTTTTTATTTTTCCTATTTTTATGCATCCATCCCATTAGAGGGATGTTTCATTCTGGCAAAACATACTCATGGGCACACTAGGGAAATGTGGTCTAGATGAAATTACTAACGGTGGGTGCACACATGGTTGAAAGGCCATACTCAAAGAATACATTTGCTGTCAACCTTGGAGGGCATATTTAGTGGGGTCTCTCACGAGTGAGTCCTGGATCAGGTACTAGTCAATAATTCCTTTCATGACTTGTATAATTGAGTGGAGATGACACCTACCTGAGAGGGGTTGCAAGCCCTTTCAGGGTGGGATTAGAATATAAAAGGACCTTGCTAAAACAAAGAATTGCTCTTAATAAAATATAATAGAATTCCATAAAGACTAGTGCAAAGTACTTCACAGAGGAAGACAAAATTAAATGTCCAACTGTAAAATGGCAAATAACTGGCTAGGTTGTTGAACTGCTGATCTAGAGGATATAGTGGATTATAAATTAAATGAGTCAACAATGTGATGCAGTTGTAAAAAAGGTTAATATACCTCTGCGGTGTATTAACACAAGGATCATACGTAAGACATGGGAGGTAATTGTCCTGCTCTGCCCAGCGCTAGCGAGGCCCCAGCTGGAGTGCTGTGTCCAATTCTGGGGACCACACATAAGAAAAATGTGGCCAAATTGGAGAGAGTCCACAGGAAAACCTGACCTGGGAGGAAAGGTGAAGGTACCTGGGCATGTTTAGTCTTTTGGAAAGAAGACTGGGGGGGGGGGGGAACCTAATAATAGTCTTCAAATATGTAAAGGGCTGTGATAAAGAGGATGGTGATCAACTGTTTTCTAGGTCCACTGAAGGCAGGACAAGAAGTAATGGGCTTAATTTTCAGCAAGGGGGATTTAGGTTAGATATTAGGAAAGCTTCCTAACTAAATTAAACTCTGAAATAGGCTTCCAAGGGAGGTTGTGGAAACTCATTAGAGGTTTTTGTGATCTGGTGGGGCAAACACCTATGAGGTATGATCCAGGTTTAATTGGTCCTGCCTCAGTGCAGGGGGTTGGACTTGATCATCCTTTGAGGTCCCTGTCATCCCTACATTTTTACAATTCTAAAAGACTTTACATAAAGAATTTCTCCTGACTTCAAAATTAACCTTTCTATGGCAAAAACTGACACAGGGGGAAGGACACAGAGTATTATCAAGTTGGCCAAGGAACACAACACAAGGAGGACAATGGGAAGTGGACTGCAGAAGTAAGTTGCTGACCAGACCTAAACCACTAAATGTTCATTATATGTCCCAAGAAGTTTTGCACAGACCACTGTGGCCTAATGTGTCCTGTGCAAACTGAGATGGCTGAAGATGTTTGGAATATACCAGAGACAAAGTTGCAACAATTCCAATGTTCAAATTTAAGTTGGACATTTCAAT